AATTAATTATTTAAATACATATATAATATATTTATATCTTTAAAGCAATACTTACAGACTTAAAACAAATTCAAAATAGTTCTAAAACACTTTGTATAGTACTAAATTATCTATGTATTATTCATATAATTACATTATATTTGATCCTATTTGCTCAGCAAATTTTATAATTAATATAATTGGATTAAAAAGACTCAAGCACATATTTTATAATTACTACATAAAATAGTCAACTTAAGAGGCAAATCGATTCGTTTAAATTTCTGTCAATGTCAAGGGACACGATTCTATTTTTTTGATTCATACTTTCTCCAATGCCGAGGTTGCAGGTCAGAGCTCGTTTACGCTGTTAGCATATACCGAAAACAATTCAGATCGCATTGGAACACGGATGTAAACTCTTGTGAGCGACAGATCGTGAGTCTCTGCGACGATAACGATCGTAGGTTTGTCCAATTTTCTACGAGAGCAAATTAACGACATCGTTCTACCATTGACGTTAATTGAGATGGTCTTTCAGAATCGCTTCGGAATTTCTCTATGCAGTAGGAACGCATACGTGTTCTTCTGTGGACGACCCGTGTTAATAATTACTTAAAAAGAGAAGCTCAAAAACGGGAGTTTAAAAAACGATGCTATATAAACAGAATATAGTTATTAACTCTTCCGTCGTTGACAAAGCGAATTATTTTGTTTATTATTAAATATTGTTAGGTATAAAAAATTTATTTTTAAGATAATTTTACGTTGCCTTTCACAGAGGAATATCTTTCGATTAAGTTCCGGCCGGAACCCTTTCACGGGGAGTTGTGTTTCGTACTTTCATTCTAACATATCGAAAAATGTATCGTGTTTTAACATTTCTCTCTCCAAGCAAAAGTCTACTTGGCGTTCACTTCCTATTAAGTCTAAAAGCTGAATACAGAGGGAACTATTTTGCTGCATGACTATATCGAATGCTTTGAATTTATGTAAGTAAATGGAAATCAAATTCTTATATATCCGGTGGGTGTTCCTTTCTTGTGTTCATCAAACCGATCAACGCAACAAAAAAATTTTCTGTCGAGTTATAGTAGAAATTTTCTTAAAACAAAATTAATAATTGTATCACAGAAGAATTAAGTAATTCACTTTCAAATTTATAACATAAATATCATTTAATTTATATAAACATTTCACAAAGATTGTATTTGAGAGACATAAATTTTTTATATATATGACGGAACTTTACTTCCGGTAAACAGGACAGTCATGGGTTTGCTCGAAAGTACATTCGTAATTTTCATTCACACATAAAGAATTCTAATATTTGCATAGTCGTCGCTATATACATGATATTCTTACACAACAAAATCAAACCTGTTTTAGCATCGGAAAATATGTATTTAGATATATTAATAATTGCAATTAAGATAATATTCTTATAATTTTGATATAGGATAATGAAATTAAAATATCACGTATACTAAAATACATACATTACAGCTACGAATCATGTGTCTCTATAAGATAATTTGATAAAGTGGTAACAAATTTTACCACTTAAGTCACAAGCAATCTTATTGATGAGCTTTTAAAATTTTGTATAAGAAACTTTAAATACAGCATTTAAAGTTCCATAAAGTCCCGTAAAATGTTTATAAATTATGTTTATAAATCTTATTGCAAAAAATACATTTTTAAGTACAAAAAAGCACGAAAGAAGAAAAATAGATTACAATTGTTTTAAGAACTAAATTTTATGTTAATATATAATCGAATTTAACTTAAATCTTAATATCGCATTTTCAAAATAAAATTTTACTTGTATTATAAAAAACGGCTACAAATGAGGATGATTGTGAACATTGATTACGTATGCGTTTTTTATTCCGGAAAAAAAGATAGTTCTTTGTAAAATAGCATAACTAACAATAAGCCATGAATTGCTATCATCTACACTTTCTCTGAACGTTTTACATGTAATATACATAATCACCGAGATTTCCGTAAAAAACTTCAAAGTGTAATGAACCGTTCCTAAGAAAGAAGGTAGTATTACATGTAAGTATGGTAATCCTTTCATATTTGTCATGCCGGTAGAATATAATCCTTTCCAAAATGACGAATATTGTTGTGCGATACAAAATGCAACGTGATGTATCCTGGAAAGGATTGAAACTCTATAGCAGGATTTTAGTGAAAGGTGATGGAATCGACGTCAGTATATAAGGTCGATCTTTGACGTACATAGTCACTTAAGTTTGATTCCTCGTACTTGCTTTACCATTTAGCCTCACAAGAGCAGCAATATGAGTAAAACTGTAAGGTTCAGGCATTTTTGCCTACATGATACGCGATAAATATGTGTTTTCTGTGTTAAATAGTGTTAACTAATATAATTAACAAAGTGATGATTGAAATAGAGATAGGGAACTATATTTATTTACATATTGTGCAATAATAATAATATGTTTAACATATGCAAATATATAAGATGTAAAAAATTCTATTTAGAGATTAAATATCAATTACATACACGTATAAAAGATAATTTGCAATATTTTTATTAAAATCTTTTTAACGATAATAACTTTTTTATGAGATTTTTAAACTGTAACATCATTCTGTTAATACATATCGGAAATCTAAAAATATTAATATAGCAGAACGTGCTAAATAATTTTGAATTGCAGATTCTATTGTTAAGTCTGGCCTCGTTTGGCAGTTTGGTATTGGCTGGCCATTTTGATGAGGACCAAGGTAGTTCATCATATGAAGAAAAAACAAAACATGTGGAAATACCAATTATTAAGAAATATGGTAAGCTAATTTTTCGCAAAAAGTATTAATTAAAATGAATATATATTAAGCTTGTTAGACTGTACTTTTAATATTGTCTTTTATATAATTCTTATAATAGAAAAAAAGTATATATAATTCTATATTCTTTACTTATATACTACGATAAATATTGTCATCGTTCAAAAAATTTATCCGTTTTGTTTCAGCCATACCTATTCCACATCCAGTGCCTGTCGAAGTGCCAAAAGAAATTAAAATACCAATTCCTCAGCCTTATAAAGTACCAATCGAAATCCCACATCCTTATCCAGTCGAAGTAGTCAAGCATGTTGAAATACCCATCGAAAAGCCCGAGCCTGTGATTATTGAAAAGCATGTAAGTATAATTATAATGTCGATTTTTAATGTCTTTACGCTTTTGTAATCTGTGATTACTGTAGAAAAAAAGTAAATATACACATATAAATATAGAGTTTTTTCTATAAAATTAATAAATATAATTATTTCTCAAAAGAAATATGCTAAAATCTTCCCAATATGTAATTGTAAATAAGTAGATGATCAAAATTATTTCGCGAAATCGTAGCGCTCTAGTAAAAAATATTTTAAATTATAAATTAGAAATATGCAACTGATCCTTGAACCAATTTGTTTATTATTATAAAATATGATTTAATATGCTTCTCAATCTTTCTGCATACATATGTATGCATGTAGAGGTTTGCTTAATTGCCTATCGTTATTAAAGTGTTTTTTATGATTCTCTTGCTATAACATTTTACATTTTATATTCTTTATAATTATTGTAAGATTATTAGTTTGCGTAATATCATAAAGTATGTATCTTATATATATATATATATATATATATATATATATATATTTCATTTGGCTATGTTCGACTT